ATAACATTTAAGAAAAACAACACCTTCGCCCAAAAATTGAAAAACAAACGTAATGAAACATCACCAAAAAACTACAGAAATCATAATTGAGTTTTAAGTTCTTAGATATATTTTACACCTGATGATGGTTTTATAAAAACCGAAACATGTTGTGTAAATGTTCCGAAAATGTAAATCGATCAATCGATATGGAACATGAATGATATTTTATTATCTTAATTATAAGAAATTTTAAATATTGTGATCAGACGGATTAAAATAAATAATTGTTATAAAATTATAGGTTAAATTCTTTCAAAGACTAGCATTTTAGGTATAAAACATAGTGTTAATTTAGAAATACTATTATGAGGCAGAAAGTTACACCGAAACGTCGGTAATTTCAACAACTTTAATATGAGAGGATACTCAGAAGATTTTTACCACGGATAACCACGGAAACCTCAGATCTTGTATTAGAGTTCTTTCATGTTTATGTCAGAGAAATTAAAATCACTAAGAATTCTCAGTAAATTAAGAGCAAAGCAGTTTTCTTGTAATACTTTATCCCAGTATGAACGTACACAGGACAGTTAAAATTTGTTCACAGAGCAAAAGAATATAAGTAACCTTTTGGAGGCTTACGAATAAAGTCATGATTGACCCTAGGCTAACTTTTACGATAATGTATGTCCACTTTTAGCAAAGTTTCACCAGTAACAGCAGTTGATTAGAAAGCTACAGACGAAACTCTGAAAATAGAACTTGCAAAATGTCAACAGAAGCAAGGTTGAAAAAGTGTGATTATTCTTACAAGTAGCTCGGAGGTATCCTGGCCGATACTCGGCAAACTGCTAATCCTGTCTTAGGTGTTTCGTGGTTTACCTATATTCAACATCATAAAGGAAACAACAATTTACGATTGTACGTATCTGCAATAAACATACGTTGAAACCAATAAAATATGCAAATCGCAATCAAAACGTTTGGAAAAGACGTGTTCCCACCAAGAACATATGCAATGTATAACTGCGTGCACCAGGGTGGGTGGAGGTCATTATGTGAGGTTATCAACGGATTCTGTACGGAAAAAATTGCAACCAAGATCGATACTCATATGCGAGCTAAGGTAGAAATCACACCATATGTTACGTGCCACAGGGCAATATTTAGTTTCCGAAAAGGTTAAAATGTCAGAAACAATATCATACTATTGTTATCCAAGCGTCAGCAGATTTACAAAAAATAAACAATGCAACAGGAAGCAGCTGATGCAACTGTTTATGCGCAGATAACAAAGAAACAAAGAGTACGCAGAAAATATTTGTCGCTCACGAAAGTTAACAGACGATAAGTATGACAGAGACAACAGATAACGGCCGAGCAGAGAGAGAACTCGTTCAGCTGCGCGGACACCTTATTATTCTTCTCCCTGAACAAGGAATGGGGACATCGAAGTTTCTTTCTGTATTAAAAGTAAAACTTGTTTCATCAAAATATGTGAGGAGTGGGCAGACTGCAGGCTGATTATTTCCAAAAAAATAATAATTAAAAGCAAGCTATGAGATTTCTGTATGTACGAGGTGCGATCGAAAGGTTTCCAGACTGCGCGTATAACAACCCGTACACTTATCTCAGGTATTACATTCATCCATCACCCTCGAAGTAGTTCCCCTGGGAGTGAACACAACGATCCCAGCGCCGCTGCCAAGCCTGGAAGCATCCCTGGAAATCTTTCTTTGTCAGCCTGTCAAGCACCATCTGCGATTCTGCCTGAATCTCTTCTATCGTCTCAAATCTCCTTCCCTTTAGCTGAATTTTCATCTTTGGGAAGAGGAAGAAGTCACACGGAGCTAAGGAGGTTGCGGGATGACGGCCATGGTGTTTGAGGCCAAAAACTGGCGAACTTTGAGGGCGGTGTGCGCTGGCGCGTTGTCTTGATGCGTCGCATGTGGAGTTCTTCCTTTAGAATCAGCTGACAGGTCCCATAGCCTATCCCAGCAATGTCGCACAAGTCGTTGATGGTACGACGTCGATCTTCGTAACATTTTCGGGCGTTGTGCTCGAAGATGGTCGTCCAGAACGCTCGTCATCATCGACAGGGGTTCGGCCATTTTTAAAACGTGAATGCCCCACAAAAGTTTGTGCACGACCCATTGCGGACTCCCCAAATGCTTTCTTTAGCATTTCATAGGTTTCCGTAGCCGTTTTGGCGAGTCTTTGGCAAAATTTGATGCACACGCCATTCCGAAATCGCAGGAGGGTCGGTGTAATGCACTACCAAAACGCCTATAACTAAGAAACAAATGGTAATTCGATGATGCCGGCTGGCACACTGATTCACTATGAATGTAGGCCGCACCCCCTAAAGGCAGAAGCTCGTACTACATCCGGTTCGCCCTGTATTGACACAATCTTGAAACTTTCCGATCGCACTTCGTATTATAAGGAAGAAATATGTAACGGATTATGGTAATAAAAGAAGCCGATCCCCATTTAATTTAAAAGGACATATCCACTAAGTATCAAAAATGTTCTTAGTGATACTTAAATCACTAAGAATCAAATAAGCAATTTGTGATTTTGCGTGTAGGCAGTGGTCCGGAAATGACCGTAAAATTCTGAGCTCTTATTCTGTGATATCGTACTGTAAAGCTGACAAATAATTACTGCATCACGCTCAATGACGTTTCTCAGTTTCTGAAAGAGTCCTCGTATCTCTAAACAGGTTTTGGATTTGAAGAGGGGGGCAGATACAGGAAGGGGGGGGGAAAGAATGAAATAAAACTTTCCCGAAATGTATTCTCCCTTCGCTGATTGTAGAGATTACAACGAAATGACCAAACCGGCTAATCGAGATTCAAAATGTCGTGTTACTGAATCGAGCAACATATCGAGAGATTTTCATGGAAGGTCGAATGTTTTTTGTAGTTTGAATTTCGTCATGCATTTATATGGCCTTTGTCCTTCAGGATTCAGCACGATCCAAGTCAATAGCAGGTACGCTTAACAACATGAGAGGAATGACGCAGGAGTTTCTAATTAGCCATTACTGGTAGCTTACTTAAGTCGCTATATCAATCAAAGTTATTGTATAGCACAAATGATATTATTAAAAATGAGTGCAGAATAAAAAAGGATTATGCAATAGAAAGCAGATGAAGTCAGAAGAGAACTATAAATTCAGCTGTTAATACACCACACATACCATCATTGAAAGGATAAATAAATAATAATATGCCAATAATTTCTTTAACATGTGCGAAATGGAATTTATAAATATGTACTCAAAAACATCTGTCCAGGAAAAAATGTATACTCTGAGAATCATATGAAACTCGTAAATAAAATGTGGGGAAAATGTTGAGTTAATGAATATTAAAGCAAATGGTACATATAGTTACCAGTTGGCCTTAAAGTGTTAGATCCGTTTACAATGATTTAACGTTAACTCCTTTATCGTTTACTGTAGATATCTTTTGCTGTTCTCCATATACGAGGT